ACGTACTACGGGGTCCGGTTTTTCCGTTTAACCTAACTACTCGACGTTCTAACTACGGTTTGTTCGACGAGGAGACTCCTCCTTCCCTTCCTCCCTCCCTCCTTCTTCCTCCTCTCTCTCTCTCTCTCTCTCTCTCTCTGTAAATCCAGCATGAATTCCTCTACGCAGAACCAAAACCCAATTTTCCACCATGGGTTCTTCATAACTAATGACGGTTTTGGCTCACCATCCGAGTCCTCATCTGGTTCTCCTGTTTCATCTTGCTCTTGGGAAGAAACCCAAATCAAGGACGATTTCCTTCCATTCGACGAAAACGATTCGGGGGAGATGCTCCTCTGCGAGCTGCTCGCGGATTCTAGCGTCAATTTCACCGAGCAGGCAGCTCCTGATAAAATCAAAGATGAAGACGATGACGAGGTGGAGATTAGGCCTGCCAAGAGGCAAGGGGAAGGAAGAGAAAGCCCAGGGGAAGTTGTTGAGAAAGAGACACAATTGAAAGGTAATGGGAGAGAAAACCATTTGGGGGGTGAGCAATTGAGAGAGAAATGCTACCGTGGGGTGAGGCGCAGGCCCTGGGGGAAGTATGCGGCTGAGATTCGGGACTCGACGAGGCATGGAATCAGGGTTTGGCTGGGAACTTTCGACAGTGCAGAGGCGGCGGCCTTGGCCTATGACCAAGCCGCCTTCTCGATGAGGGGAGCCATGGCAATTCTTAATTTCCCCGTCGAGAGAGTGAGAGATTCTCTAAGGGGGATGAAATATGAGGCGAGTTGCTCGCCGGTGGTCGCTCTCAAGCAAAAACACTCGATAAGGAAGAGGTCAAAATCAAAGAAGAACAAAGAGTTTAAGAGAGAGAAAGTGATGAGAGAGAGTATGGTGGAGAATGTAATGGAGTTGGAGGATCTTGGGGTGGACTACTTGGAGGAGCTCCTCAGTTCCTCAGAGAGGGTAGGCCAAATGTGAAGTCCCTATATTCTTTTGTTCATTTTGGTTTTAGTCTGTAATTTTGAGTGAAGCTTGAGTTTTGCCTCAGAGGGAACCTGCATGTCCTTTTTTTTTTGTTCACATTGCAGTTCTGTGTTGGTATGAGTCCAATGACTTTAATTTTTTTTGTTTCTATGTATCTTTTCTCCTTTTTCTTTTGTTTAAAGCTTTGGCACAAAATGTGCTTTATGTTTGTATAGGTGAAAACTGTTGGAAGGGAAAATTTTAAAGTCTTGCCTTTCTCTCTCTCTTTTACAAACACTAAGTTGCAGCTGTTTAATTGTATATTCTCTTCACTAGGATTTTAGTGAAGTTGAATCACATGAATTTGTTGGAGAAAACAAAAAGTAAAGGGAAGATCTTCATGTTTAGAAATAAAAAAAAGGAACCCAAGTTTTTGATTTGGTTTCTCTCTCATCATGATCTTTTGTGATAAGCTACATGAGTTATCTTTATTGACCATATGCTCAGTTATCCACTTATTGGATTCTCCTTGGTTCAAGATTGCTGCGCCACCCTTCACTTTGATCAAGCAATATGGTGATTTGGGAGCATAAACCTTGATTTGCCTTCACCAATTATTTAAAGGAAAAAATTTATATAAGATTGCAACTGTAAATTGTAGAATTAAAGACGCAACTCAAAAATCCCTCGAAAAAGGTTGTTTTAATGTTGAAAAACCTTCTAGTTAATCATATAGACATCAAGATGTATGAATATTGAAAAAAAAAAGAGATTTTGAGTCTCAGAAATAGCGCATCTTGCGACACATTATCTAGACCGTCTATTTTCAAGATTTTCATATGTTTAAAGATCTACTTGATTTTAACTTTTTTTTGGAGTTTAAAAATTTTATAATTAGATAAAAAAATAAATTTTCAGATAATCTTAATACTTTTTTATACCAAAATTATATATTATAATAAAATTTAAAGATACGCCTATATTGGATTGTTTATGGTTGCAACCTTATAAAAAACCACATCCTTATTTAAATAGTTTACTTACCCAAAAATTATTTAAATAGTTTCTTTCATCCAACTTGCCTTTGCTTCATTTGCAATCATCAAAGGAAGAGAGAGAGAGTGTGTGTTTAGAGTTTAAATAGTTTACTTACCCAAAAATTATTTAAATAGTTTCTTTCATCCAACTTGCCTTTGCTTCATTTGCAATCATCAAAGGAAGAGAGAGAGAGTGTGTGTTTAGAGAGAGAGAGAGAGAGAATGGGTCCAAGATGATAGGCTGTTGGTAATTAATGGAAAAATTCAAAATAGATGAGGGAAGCATGTTTGGATGAATATGAGGAGCACTATGGGTAGGTCATATCTTTATGTGGGCCTACGCATTTGGAGCCCATTGAGTGGAGATTTGGGACGCAAATATGGGCCCTTTAGTGATCCACAACTTGATTCTTGGGGCCCAAATTTAAGATAAAAACCATCTCCTGTTGGCCCCCTCTCTCTAGATCTCCCTGCTGCTTATGGAGGTGTACAATAGACAAGTATTAATGGAGTGTTTGTAGTCCCATAGTGGAAAGTACTAGGATGATTGTTCTTTATATAAAAAACCTCTCACTTTCTCTCTCTTTTGGCTACACAAATTCATTCATCTCCATCTCTCTCTCTCTTTCATGTCTAAGCATAATCGAGGACATAGCTTTTTTTAAGATGGAGCTTGACCTTTTCGCTAGGAATCTCAATCCCTTATTGTATGGATCTGGATCTGCCTAATGAATACGCTCAATCCCTCTATTTTTATGGATCTTGATCCATTTAGGGATCTTGATCCCTATATTTGTAGATCTCTATCTATATCATGTAGTAATACCAAACATTAAGAATTAGAATTTTTAGATTGCTATGAATAAATTGTAGACTATAGAGTGTTAGTCTAGGGTTGTAAAATGTGTAAACCATATTAAGAATTAAATTAATTAAAGGATTTAAGCCAATGGAAAGATAAAACCCTGTCGGTAGCATAATGGCATCTAGTTTTTGTGAGCATTAAGATTGCGATACTTTATATTCATGGATTGAGGACTCCATTTATATGGATCGCGATCTTGGTTATTTGGGATCCCAATCCTATGAGAAGTGGGAAAGACGCCCTTTCGCGCAATGGAATCTAGTTTTTATGAGCATCAAGATTACGATCCTTTATATTCAAGGATTGAGAACCCCAATTTATATGGATCGCGGTCCTAGTTATTTGGGATCCCAATCCTATGGGAAGGGGAAAAGACGGCCCTTGCAAAATGGGATCTAGATACTATAAATATTGGGATTACGATCCTTCGTATATATGGGATCTAGATCGAGGCTAGATACATAATACAAATCTTAATCTTAGACTACCTGCCCATGTCCATCCGACCATCCCATTCCCAATCTTTGAGCCATTCTTGCTCCGGTTCCAAGTAACTATCATTGTAATATTATACCTAGGAATAAATGCTTCTCTCTCACTGTCATAATTAAACTCGGAATCAAACCCCCACACTCACCCTCGCTATATATATGCCCAAGCTTTAAACCTTTAAGAAGATGAATAAAATTAGGCTCTAAACAATCAAAGTAAAACACACCATTAAATATTGACGATAAATGTGGTTTTACTGTTGAAAATCTTTGTGATAGCCTTAAAATATATTTTTATGTTTAATTATAAATTTAAAGTTTAAAAAATAATGTATATCAAGCATATCTATGAAAACTTGAAAATATTGAAAACTGACGATCCAAGAATGCTTTACATGATGCACTATTTTCGAAACTTGAAATTCATTTTTTTTTTCTTATGTCCATGCATCATGATGTAAAGATGATCAATTTGAAGATATTTGGGCATCGAAACAACCTCTTCTAATGAAATTTTTGAGATAGACTCCAATTTGATTGTTTAGAGAGTCGGCTCTATATAAACCTTTTCGATAAAGCTATAGGAATGGAATTAGTGCAATTGGGTCATTCCTCTTGTGTGAAACCCCTAATATGCCCCCCATTGCACCACATCACTTTTTCCTTGATGAGAGATCTAGATGAATGCAAGCAACCTTTAGTTAGGATAGCATCTAATTTATCAATATCTTCCAATCAGTTATTTTGTTAGGAAATTTCCCTGAAAGCATGAAGATATTACTTAAAATAATTTTGGATGGTGGGAATAGAGGTCAATATGGAATTGTAAACATAACTCAATGTTAAAGTCTGGAGTTGCTTTATTTGAAAAGTTTTGGAAATGTACACAAGCGATAAGTAAGTCAAAATCATTATAAGCCGGCATACCTAAAACTAGGTAGCTGGGAATGTGCGTATAATTTCTCAAACTGTGCCACACTCATTGAGCCGTTAAATTTCACATCCGATGGCTAAGGATAATGGCAACCTCCTTACGCAAAAAATATATGGTCTCATGATACATAATCCCAAAAGTTTTAAGATGGAGCTAACCCTAGTAAGGGTAATTTGCGGATTTGTTATTACATTTTATATTGATAAAAAATGGACGGCTAGATGGTAGGGAGAACATATAACTTCTATGTTGTAGGGGGAACATAGAAAACTTTCCC